TCTTCAGGAAGGACCCCGCGATCTTACTATTCTAGGCCCAGATTTCGGTCGGGGCGAGAGGCAAGATCGGCTTCAAGCTCCTTCAACAAGACAAAGCTCCATTGCGTCGTAGCTCTAGTAAGATCCACCAAGGCCAACATCAAGGGACTCCCGGTTGCCTCCATGTCGCTTTCTCAAACATGACAGAGGTTTGGAATTCACTCTATCATGAGCCTTTGCACCTGGTGCTCCGACGAAGTGGTTTACCTTTAGATCCTACCCTACCCTTCCCTCCGGGTGTTGCCCTTTTCCTGTCCCTTTCTTTCATAATAATTAATACCTTTAGCTCTCGTCTCATTATCCCCCATTTTGATAATATGGTAACGGACTATGAAAGGAGGGGACCGTGGATTTCATCGCCGAGTTGGTGTAGTTTTAAATGACGGAATTTGCCCCCCATCCCCCTCTACCTCTTGCGAAGACATGATTTTTCCATGACATTTCCTGCTTCGCCTCGCCACTAACACCTAACAGAAGGCCGCCCCGGTCGTCTTCTGGGGAGGCGCCAATAAGATTGACAGGTGGCCCTGAACTCGAGGACGTGATCAAGGGGTGAAAGGTGGGGTGAAAGGGGAGCGACCCTCGCGATGTCCATATAGCATATACAAGTAGTCCCGTTGCTCGCTCCGTTGCCTGTTTTGTCGGACTAGCCCAAGTTTGTCCTTGGCCTTGGTGGAAAATATGCACAGCAGCCACCAACCTCAGCCTTTTGAATGTGAAAATGAAGAAGCGGAAAATTGGCTCGTGACGTCAGCATTTAGCAGCTAGACTTCTCCTTCGGGATAGCGACATTTGGGTCTGGTCATCAAGGGTTTTAGAGTAGGGAGAGAAAAAAAGAAAGAAAAAAGGAGGCAAACCAAATCCTGACTCTCTGTCGTATCTCTTGAAGGATTTGTTCAAATGCATACCGAGGTACACACACACACACATCCAACTCGGGCGCGACGAGTCGATTGCACTCATTGTGATCGGAGAAGCCCGCCCCGCCTCTCCTCTATTTGACGTATCATTCCAACGGGGTCACAAAATTGGCGGGCACACCTTCGGTTCAAGTTCTCCGGCTCCGAACAACTCCTCATCCACTTGGGAAGATAAGGATAATAGATAATAAAGCAAAGCAAGAACAGAGATAGAGAGCGCAAGCAAGGTAGCTCATATCGGGGCTACTTTCACCTAGCTTCTTGTGAGGATCAAATCCTGAGATTTACTTGTAGGAATGGGATAGCGTGCCCGGGAGAGTTCCCAAGTTGCTCCACAAGCCAGGTCCCTAGCATTCCCAGCGTGCTTCCTTCCCGCTCATTGCTAGCAGCGAGCGGCATATTGTGGGAAGCTGTTCTCGCTTCGAGTGCAGTAGAGTTGAGTTGGTTCCCTGACAAGTGGGAGCTCTTCACCAATGGACTTGTTGCACCTTATTAGATTGATTTCTTTCCACCCTTCCCAGCAAAGGAATGGGGTCACCGGTGCGGATTAGGTATTCTGGCCGTTCCTCTCATGGCGGAAGATAGCTGATGGGGATGCAGGCTCTGCAGCTCAAGGAATCTGGCTGGGGGCACATGCATCCGGCGATTCGTTGTCGGCCCTCCCTCTAGAAGGAACCAACGTGTTCATCCCTCCGAGCCTGTCGAATGTGGGTGGACGAGCTTCGAGGCCTAGAGAACCGACTCCTCTGCTCTCTTGACATACCTTGGCCCCCTCTCTAGCACTCTTTAGCTAGGCTTTGCCCATTGCCCTTCTCTAGTGATGGTTTGGGAACGCAGAATGCGATAAGCCATTTTGAATCGAGGGATTGCCCAGTCCCGTTCCTGATGGATGGCCCAGTCGTCGGCCGCCGACGTCTAATCTCACTAGCGCAGGACAAAAATCCCCGCCAAGGCCCCCATCCGACTCCTTTAACGCACCAGAGTGGCATGAGAGTATGCTACTGCCGCTAGCTCAATGCTGCTTGGTCGCGCTGCCAAGCCAGACCAGAATAGCACAAATCCACACATGCTCCTGAAGTTTTGAGGGGAGGAAAAATTAAGAAAACAATAGGAAGGACCGCCGGGGAAATGGGTTTAGAGTTTGACATAAACTTATTAGTCTAGTCATTTCCTTTTTCCTCTTCGACACCTTTTTTTTATTCCTTTCAGACTGGCGCCCTGCCAGCCCGCGCTTTGCTACTAAAGGCCGTCGAGATCGAGCAGATCGGTGCACTCGTGGAGAGTCGAGAAATAATTCAAACCCTAAACGCAACCTCTGCCTCCTCGAAACGTGACATTTTCTCTTTGCCTGAAAAGATTGATCCTACTTCGTACCTCGAGCACTGAATCCTTCCATTACCGTGCCGTAGAGCGACCGTGGCACACCCTTTGGAGGCCAGGCTCTTCCCGGCTCGGCAAATATCCCGGCCAAATACCTTTCGGCGGGTTTCTCTTTGTGTTATCGGTACTTTTTCCTCGCCAGAGAGAAACGCAGCAAGCGCACTGCTTCCCGAGTGGCGCCCTGTACCGCGTCCAATTAAGGAGGTTGCGTGGATGTACTTGGTTCCTCGCCATACTGTGCACACTTTGGAGAGGTTGGTGTCTCGTGTACTTGTATCAGGCTCGGCGGAGGAGGGATACAACCATGCACGCGACTTTAAATGTCCTTTTGCGACCATTGAGCATAGCGTCGAGGCGGCGCCTACTCTGAACCGACCGGGGGCAAGAGGGAACCTCTCCTATCTGTGGAGCAGGCAGTTAACCCACCCCGACAGCTTGAAAGACCTCCCACGCGATAGTCTGGTGAAAGGAAGGACGACGTAGGTCTGCTAGGAAGGAGTGAAAAAAGATATGGGGTTGATTTGAGTATAGATATCAGATCAGTAGAGATGACAGGATGGCCATATTCACTAGAAATCAAGTCTTATCATTGGTATGTGACAAGGATCCATCTTCAACGTAGATCTTTGACAAACAAGTCTTCGTAGTGGGGTCACCCATCCTGTAGGAGAAGAACGAACATCGCTTCGGCGCATCTTCCAAGTCTTCGCTTGCATCGTGATTGTAACTGTCAAAATAGCGTAGGGAAGAGGTGGTGTGTGAAGAGACATAGCCAGCTTGCCAGCCGCCTCGTAGTATCTACGCAAGAGGCGTAGTTTGCGCATAGTACTTGGAGTGTAGGTGAAGGAGGGGGGCGAGAGCTGCTCGAAGCAGATTAATAACAAGCCCGTGCCGCTCCCTCACGACAAAGGGATCGATTCAAGGCTAGGGCAGGCCCATCTTTACCCGTCACAGCAGAAAAATCAGAGGCCAACTAATAAGGCGGATTGCACGGAAACTTGGTGCGCTTGCCTAAGTCCTGGATGATAAGAGCTGGAGGAGAGCGTTGGATAAGGCCCTGGTGATACCCTCAAGGACCAACACCTCTGCTCCCGTCCGGCGTCGAGAGAAAATGCTTGGCCGACAGGCTAGGCTGGAGCAACTGCCTAGATTGGTAGGTAGCAACTCAGGCGGGGTGCTCAGATAATACATGTAAACTGCCTTTCCAACCTGGTGTGTCCGACACACACCTACATCCTCGAGATACTTTGCTCGAGTAATACGAAGCCCACCCCGCGCCCCTACCTGCGTTGAATAATTTACCGACAGGTTCCCAGAGGCCGGAAGTCGCTCTTTGATCCTATTCGGATTCTAAGACCCAGCAGCGTGGTTTGGTCGGATTAAACCCATATTAGGGTCTGGTTGTGGAAATCTGGACGAGCTCCGCGTCAAACTGGAAAGCCTCGATCTCCGTCTGGCACGGGGTTATTAATCGGGGCTTTCAAGAAGAGCGTGAGGGCTTGGCTGTGGGTTGGCCCGAAGGGTGTGTGCTGCGACAAGTTCGATTGGTGATTTCCAGAAGACTTCCACTTTTGGGTGTGGTGGGGAGGAACAAAAGGCTGTTGCCACTCGCTGGAGACCTCCACGATTAGTGGTGGCTTCGCCCCTTTCATTCTCATATCGCCTTGATCGCCTCGCGTGGGAATGGGTGTGGTGCGGCGGTCGCCGAGGCCATCGGCCGAAGAGAGATCGAATGAATCCACACACAGATAAGAAACCCGATAATCATCCAAGTACAGGAAGTGAGTCGCGGGTGGTCAGCTCAGTTCCAAAAAAATGACACGGTCATTCACGTGCAAGTGGTTGTGATACAAGGAGCAAGGTCGGGGAACGAGGCAGGCTTTGGGCCTTGCCAGCAATTCTTGTCAGGTAAACCTGCCCTCGCCTGGCCATCGTAGGGGCCTAATGACGGGTGGTTCGACGCTTGGAGAATTTGTCTGGTATGAGAACAAACCCTTTCGCCTCTTTCGGCGCGCTCAACCTCTTGGGAACTGGCCATCGTTAACACAAATTGATGGTTGACACCTTCTAGTAAAAGCCAGTGTTAATGAATAGCGTCCTATTGGTAGACGTTGGAATGGGGTAGGAGCGACAATGGGCCCCGTCAAGATCGAGCCAGCCAAAGAAGGAAAATCATCACCGGCACCTTCCCCTTCTTCGCTCCAAGACATCATTTGCGATTCTGATTGGTGAATTTGCGTGGGTTCCCAGTCATGTACAGTGCGATGGTGACCTCATGACCTCGCTGGTACCTGCCCCTTCCGCTGTGGTAACTCGAAAGTTTATTGGATTGGGTTATTACGAAAGGTGACCTGCAGGTGTGAGGTAGGAAACATGGATGTCCGACCACCCAACACCCTCGTCCCGGCTTGGCCAGGGAAACGCACGGCTTCTGCCATTGATGCAGTCGCACTTCCTTGTTTATTTTCTCCAACAACAAGACGTCGCTTGAGGCCGCAGGCGAGCTCATCTCATCAAGTCAAAAGACTTGCACTCTAATGGATTCTTCGGATCTTCATCGCAGGCGACACCCCCGGAGACCGCAGACCAGCATAGTAAAGAGCCAATATAGACGTCCTTCAAACAGCCGGAATTGCCCCCACGACTGGTCCTGTTTCAAGAATGGTCAAGATAAGGAAAGTTGCAAAGGCGTGGGTCGGGCCCGGTATGGGGCATGCTCTCGCGTGAAAAGGCTAGGTTGGAGAGGCGGCCGTGAGTTGTGTACTTGCCCGTATACAAACCGAGCCTACATCCTCGAACGAGCAAAACGATCAGCGTCGATGTAATATCTATCAGACACACGGTGTTAGGTTAGGCCGGACCCCAAAAAAGGAAAATGTAATCCCATGTCAGTCGTACTTCGCAGCTTGAGCCAATATGGGTGTCCGAGTGGGATCAATAGATTCTGCCTCTGGTGACACACGATTAGCATCGGGGCAACATACCAAGTTCCACCCTCTTTCCCCTTCCAAATCCCCCTCGCAGGCCTGTCTTTCGTACGTACCTTGTGTCTTCGCTTTCTGGTTCCACGACGGCCACCCCTTTCCCCTTCCCCGCACCCCCTCCCCCATCCCTCAGCTTCCCCGTTTTCTTTTTCTTTTATCTTTCAGACCTACGACCCACGACCCACCACGAACCCCCATCCATCCCTGCGTCGCGGCGAAGGGGCGCCAAAGAGATATCTCGGGCGACTCCATCAAACTTGCTCTTTTCGCCACAGACTTAGCGTCCAGAGCTAGTCAGTCTTGGAACGCATTCGCAGGTGCCTCGATCCACCATCGTATGCTGCCTTGACTCGAGATTCCCTGCCCTCGTTTCCCGACCCGTCCCAATGACCCCCTCAAGGTCAGGGTAGGGCAAGCGTCATCCTTCTGCCGCAGAGAGAAGAAGTCAAAGTCAAATATCATCCCACCCCCTCCCGTTCCCCCACACCCTCCTCTGGCAGCCAGTCGCCTCTTTCCTATTCAAGGCAGCTTCCTTGATGTGCCCAAGCCGGCTGCGACTACCCTCCGTCCCCCATCCGCTTCCCCATCCATCTCCATTGTCCCCTATCAGACCGAGGTCGCGTACCCAAGGACCCCTTCCATGCATATATTGGCCCGTGGATCCAGGAGCTCTGTTGTCTCTCGTGCCCCGCATCCATCGATCCTACCCTCTTCATATGATAGGGACTTCCCATATTAATCAAGCTGTCCCCATTCCGCGTTCTTCAGCAACACCCCCTTTCCTCTCAAACCAAATACCTTATAATATCTCCTCTCCCCTCCCCTCTTGCCTGTCGATCTCGCGTTTTTGCGGCAAGAGCTTCCCCTCATCTCGCTCCTTCTACAACCTCTCGTCACCTCTCTTTGTGTGAATAAGAGCTGCCGACGCTTGCTTTCTATCGGTGATGGCTACTCGCTCAGACGAATCGCCCCGCCGGGAGCGGATCCCGAAAAGGCCGTCGCCTATGTTCCGGACGTCTTGCCCGGATATAACACGGCAGGCCGCCACAAGGATGCTGCCGCTACCGTCCAAGATGAGGACTTCATGACCAGAAACGGTCTGAACCTCACTTCGTTCAAGCAGCGAGAGTATGGCCTGGGTCTCGTTGAACTAGATCGTGCCATGAAGACGCGCCATTTGCACATGATTGCCATTGGTGGCTCAATTGGTGCTGGTTTCTTCGTCGGTTCCGGTGGCGCTCTCTACTCTGGTGTATGTGGACTCCTCCTCCCCCTTGTCTCTGAACTGGAGCCATGTGACAAATCAACGCGGGTCTGGCTTGATGCTGGTGCACGTTTCAATGGGTGATGCTAATACGGTTTGGTGAATAGGGCCCCGGTTGGGTTTTGGTCGATTTCTTGATTATTGGTGTCATGATGTTCAACGTCGGTAAGTGTGAAATCCCCTCAGCCGCGAGAGGATGTAGTCGTTGGAGGCGGTGGGTGGGGGTGGTTGCTTTAGAAGATGTCGTGTCCGAGCCCTAGGCTGTCTGTCGCATGCTAACGTTCAATGCTTGTAGTCTACGCTCTTGGTGAGCTGGCTGTTATGTATCCCGTCTCTGGTGGCTTCTACACTTACTCTACCCGGTTCATCGATCCTTCTTGGGGCTTCGCCATGGGTTGGAACTACGTACTTCAATGGGCCATCGTCTTACCCTTGGAATTAACCGTCTGCGCCATTACTATCAAATACTGGAACGACTCAATCAGCGAAGCCGTTTGGATCGTCGTGTTTTTGATTGCCATCACAATTTTCAACGTCTTTGGTACTGTCGGGTACGCCGAAGAGGAATTCGTCGCATCCGCGTTTAAGCTTGCCGCTACCGTCATCTTCATGATTGTCGCCCTCGTCCTTGTTTGCGGAGGCGGACCTAAGGATGGCCGCTTTGGCGAATACTGGGGAGCCAGGTACTGGTACGAGCCGGGTGCGTTCAAGGACGGTTTCATCGGCTTCTGCTCCGTCTTCGTTACCGCTGCCTTCTCGTTTGCCGGAACGGAATTGGTTGGTCTTGCTGCCGCCGAGTCCCGCAACCCGGTCAAGGCTTTGCCCGGCGCTATCAAGCAGGTCTTCTGGCGTATCACTCTGTTCTATATCCTCGGCCTGTTCTTCGTTGGTCTCCTCGTCAGCTCCGATGATGAGAACCTTTTGGCCAAGGAGGGTAACTCTGGCTCTGATACGTCGCCGTTCGTGCTGGCTGCCAAATATGCCGCCCTTGAGCCGTTTGACCACTTCATGAACTTTGTCATCCTCATCTCGGTGCTCTCTATTGGTGTTTCCGCCGTGTACGGAGGATCCCGTACCCTCACCGCCCTGGCTCAGCAAGGTTTCGCCCCCAAGATCTTCACCTACATTGATCGTTCGGGCCGCCCCCTCCCCTCTGTCATTCTTCACCTCGTCTGCGGATTGCTCGCCTTTATGAGCATGAACAACCGCAGTAACGAAGTGTTCAACTGGCTTCTCTCCCTTTCTGCGCTTGCCGCCCTCTTCACATGGGGCTCCATCTGCCTGGCGCATATTCGCTTCCGAGCTGCCTGGAAGCACCAGGGCCATACTCTTGATGAGATCCCATTCACGGCCATTGGTGGCGTCGTTGGTTCGTGGATCGGCCTTATCCTCTGCGTCATCGTGTTGGCTGCCACTGTAAGTAAAAACCCTTTCCCCAGCGTAGCACCCGTTCCGCTCGATCATGTGAAGACGCAGCTGCTAATGAGGTGTGCGTCGAAAACAGTTCTACACCGCTATCAGGCCTCTGAACGCCGAGAAGTTCTTCCGAGACTGGCTTTGCGTCCCCGTTGTCCTCGTTTTCTGGGCCATTGGTTACGCCTGGAAGAGGACTGGCTGGCTTCGCGTCAGCCAGATTGACGTTGACACTGGCCGTCGCGAGCACGATTGGGACACGATCAATGCCTACCGTGCCGAGGTTGCGAAGTGGCCCAAGTGGCGCCAGATGCTTAACAAGCTCTTCTAGATGTGTCACTGATGCCTGGTGGACCACCAGGCATAATGCGACTCATTCTGTTTTGTTTTCATTCTTTTGCAGATACCACTTCGTTCTCCTCGGTTTCGTGCACCATTGTTTCGGTGCGGTCCTCGCTATCGCATGATCTTGAGGTGTCAGCCCACCACATATAGGCCGGGTCGTGTGGCTTAATATATATATACATACCACTGTGAGGTTGGTGGATGGAAAAAGCTGATGCCTGGGGTATTCACTTGTATATGGATTTGGCGCGGTGGTGTCGTTCAAGAAGTGAAGCGCCTAACCTCATCCTCTCCGCTATATTACCAATCTTAGTTAACTCAACTATTTCATTCTTTGTCCACGTTGGGGCCCAGAAGCCTTGAATCCCTTGTCTTCCATGTGAGTTGAGTATCTGCAACACGCACCTAGAAATATTTCTCGAGTTCACTTGACCCCGTCTAAGTGATCAATGATGCTATGGGTGAGCTGTAAGTGAGCTAGAAATGATGGTCGAACAATACGGAGTAGACGAGGGGAAAAGTTGCCAATTCTTGGCGGCTAAAAACAAAATGGGAAGGAAAGGAAAAGACCTGGTAGAAGGGTTATTATCGAAGAGGATGGGCTTGAGGGAGGGCTTTGAAAGGTTTGACGAAGCTTGTTTGGTATTATAAGTTGATAGGATATGATATATATGGCGTTCTTGACGTTGGAGGAAGACGGCCGTGCTGCATTAGACCATCCGCAGCTGGATGCAGGGTAGGTCTTAAACCAAGCCTCTGGGTGGAAGGCCTTGGACGCCGGATGTCAAGTTTGCGCCCTTTCAGGGACAAGGAGCGGGTGGGCGTGGGTTGCTAGCCGGATTAGGAAATAAGCTCTCTTGCAGCGGGCTCTGGGCGGGAACGGTGTCCATCCCTCTCCCGAGGCGCTGGGGTGGGACGCCTTTAATGATGCCATTGACGGTCACGGCACGTCAATATTTGTCTGCGGGAGGTCCATGGCTAACGGGCCACTGGGTGAGGACTGCTTGAGGCTGGCCAAAGGGGGGTCATGGGCATACACGCCTGAGATAGACATCACTTTTTGCTTATGGATATGAGTCTTTTTTCTTCTTTATTATTAGGCGGTTCTAAAGCATTGTACTGTCTATTTCGGTATAAATAACATGATTCCCTGTTCGGACGAGCACATGAAGGTCCGGGTGCTTGGGAATTCTATTTCTGCGCGGCTTTGTTCTCGCGGCTCTTTCGTTTTGACATGACTGCGCCCTTCGAGTGAAAATGTGGGGTGGCTTGACAGAAGGATTCAAGACCCTGTCTTTTCACGCCAAGGCCTGGGTTCCTCGTCTTGGTAATGTTCGATTTTTTTCTTTTTTTCCTTTTGGGCTCTCCAATGATTTCATCACATATGCAGTTAAGAGAATGCACCTCATATTTGACTTGGTCCCTTTATGGATCGATCCGTCTCTCTTCGAATGCTTCGTCTGTCGAGGAGCAAGCACTCGGCCAAAAGAGAGAACCATTGTTCCTGACAGACCACTTGTGCCAGGGCATTGATGATTACCTGAGGACCATCGAGTGCTTCCCGAATGGGGCTGACGAGGAATAAGCTTACTCCACGTGATGTGGAAGGAATGCCCAAATGTTCCTTCAACGGCACCTCAAGGCTTTGTTGTCTCGCCGTCTGAAGGCTCACTTCCTGGGCGGCGCTTCTTTATTCGGCTGCCTATTCACATTGAAGTCGAGGTGGGAACGGAAGCGCGACATGTTCCGTGTACGATGATTTTACTCTCGAAAATAATTGTGTCGAAATCGTAGCAATTGAGATATTGAACGTGGAAGCAGCTGCTTTCGATCTTTGGCTAAATCGAGTGTCAGTGGCAACATCCGCAAGACTTTCTAAACCCACAAGACGACAACGACTGCCTCAAACCGTACCTCTTCCCCAAGAAACCAACCAAGCCAAAATACCCTGCAAGCGCGCCTTTCATCACCGCTCGCCGCTCGCCGCTCGCCGCGCTCGCCATGGGCCAGACAGACATCCCCCTCCCCACTGCCCCCGTGGCTGATCCCCGCCACCACCGCCCTCCTCGGCGGCGGCATCGCCCTATGGCTCGTCACCTACGCGCTCATGGTGCCCCGCTCCTCGCCACGAAATCCTCCCCGATCCCTCTGCTCGCCCTATCCATCAACCTCGCGTGGGAAATCGTCTTTACCGTGTTCGTGACGGAGCACGCCATCGAGCGCTTCGGCTTCGCCCTCTGGCTCGCCTTCGACGCCGGCATCATCTACGTGACCCTCGCCGCCGCGCCGTACGAGTGGGGCCCCGCGCCCCGTCGTGGCGAGGAATCTGGGCCGCATCCTCGCGGGCTTGGTGGCCGTCGGCTGCCTGGCGCAATGGGCCTTTGTGGCCTGGTGGGTCGCCGAGCCGGGGAGGGGCCACGGCGACAAGACGGGCAAGGTGTGGTACGGCGTGGAGGGCATCGACACGACGGAGCTGGCGTACTGGACGGCCGGATTCGCTCAGGTCGTTGGAAGCGCGCTGAGCGTGTGGGACTTGTTCGTTCGTGGGCATTCGGGCGGCACGAGCTACGGCATTTGGTATGTTCTTTGGCGTCCCGCCGTATACCCCGGCCTCATATTCCGATATGCCACGGTGATTCCCCTGCACGGGCGGCGAACACGTACGTGCCTTTCTTTGCATATACTAGCACTAACACTTTCCGCTCCTTTCTAGGCTTGCCCGCACCATCGGGACGCAGTGCGGCCTGACCCTGAACTCTGGTCTCCTCTGGTGGTACTGGCCCGAAGCCCACGCCTACTACCTCACCGCGCCCTCTCTTTCATGCTCGGCCTCTCCACTGCGTGTGACCTCGTCTATGGCTTGCTCCTGCGCCACGTGAAGAAGTCGGAAAAGCAGCTTCCTGACGGGAGGCTTCTCGCCGGCGCCTGGCACGGAGGGTCGGCTGGGGCGGTGGGTGAAAAGTCCGAGTAAGAGGGAAAGGGCAAGGTTTTGGGCGGAGGTGGAGGGAGGTGAAAAGGCCTCGGGATGACCTTTGAAGTAGGTCCTGGATGGCACGATGTCAGATGAGGGGCATTGTCGAGGCCTGCCAGCTATAAAACTCACCTGCTTTATCCCCGAGTCTTGCTACCCTCGAAATATCGACTCATAAGGGATGGTTGATCGAATGCAAACGTCTTCTCGTGTCCGTCCCGCTGTGTGTTCCTATCTTCATTCAACTCAAGTAGCGAAACGTGTTACGTATCTCAAGCGGCCCTGTCCACCAGAGTCGATGATAGCCTCTATTACCGTTGCCGCGATCGTGACCATATCGCGGCTGAGAACCATATAGTCACGAACTTATATCCCTCACAAGAGGTAGCAGGGCAAAGTAAGGTGTCGGCACCAAGGCTGATATCAGGTTGAGACGCCCTAGGAGCATAGCCGACACACGAATATGCTGATAGACAAGGGGTGCCCTCCATCCTCAAAGCCCCTCGCATCGAGCCCAAGGACTCCAACCATCTACGAGCGATGTACTACGCGTTGAACAACACACAAATCTGCGTTATTGTCCCAGGCGCACTTCGCGATTCGGAATTAAAGGGAGTCACCCTGAGCCCCCGGCTCTTCTAACAATCAAGAATTCGACGCCGCTCTCGCTCTCTGACTTGCGCTTCTCCTAGTCCTTGATACGAAGCCAAATGGTAAGTAAGCGCGAGGCAAAGCGAGGGCGCCCGAAATCTTCACCGGTCAGCACACCGCGTCCGGATCCATGTTTTATCCATCCCACGAAACGGGCGAGGCACCGTGCTCTTTGCGCTGCGCCGGGTTTCGGTATCGTACGATGGCGCGCTCCCCTCAACTGTTCCCCGCCGCCCAAGGCGCGTTTCACCTACAAAGCCTCCTCCGCCGACGCCCCGTCGCCTCAGCGAACATTAAGAAATTTTGAAATCAACCTGTGCACACACAGACATCCCGCATGCCCCTTTTCTCTTAGCCTCAACTCTCCGGCGTTTAGTCTCGGGCGAATGCCAAGTTTGTCAATAACGGCAACTAGGTTCGGTGATGGTACGCTCCGTCTGGGCTCTACATCTGGGGCCACTTCAACGACCTCACAAATGCCGACGGATGCCGTTTCCCTCGCCGGTCTGTGAGAGATGTGGCGTCGCAGGGTAGTCCTGGTTTATGCCTGCATCGGGGGCCCCGGCGCCGCTGCTTGCACCCGGCCGGTATGCATGCGGGGACTATTTGGGATAGACGGAGGGCTATGCGTATTCCCGAAAGGGTCTGGGGAGCTGACCGTGCAAGTCCCCTCGGCCGACAGAGCACGGTTGTTGTAAATTAATCAGTGGTTTCTCGCGTGGGCTTCGGTCTCTTTGCCTTCACGTAATAACTCGTAGTGAAAGGGAGGGGAAGAAACGGCCAAAGAAGAGAGAAAGTCGAGGCGAGAACCTGAACTCCTTGCCTGCGCTTGCTGTATTCCATCACGCATCATTTCCGCCCCCGCCGAGCCTGCATAATCAATATCACAATCCCGTCTCCGCCATCCACCCAATTGAGGGGCTTCGATGCGGGCTCACATGATTAAGGAACAATGCACACGCCCTACTCTGGTAAGAGGAAATACGGACCAAAAATCTGTTTGTCATCCCCGTCTCCCCCGATTGCCCCGAGTGGGGGTAGGTCGGATGTGAGGGAGACTGTCTGAAGGGTAGCCATTTTGGAGGGGCGGGGGTTGTGCCTCACTTGCAGGCGTTCAGGGGCAGATGAGATTTCAAAACAATGATGGCTTTTGCAACCTTGAGGCCGTCTCGGTGGAAGTTTTCAAGATGATATGTATTAGTGTAGGCAAACAACAGTTGTTGGCTTGCATCTCGAATGTTTCCAAGACGGCCAGCCAGGCTGGTGGTGGGCCGGGAAGAGGGGACGTGCTCCTCTTTCCTCCCCCACGGGTCCGTCCGCAAAACGACGCCCACCACGCGTCTGAGCACAGGGGGCTGGAAGAGCAACATAGTATCGCGCATGCATGATTGCCCCCGGATGCCAATTTGCACCGTCTGGCCTGCCTGGCCTTTGCATTCAACATAGCAATTCGAAAGGGCGGGGCTGGCCTGAGTTGAGGCGGGCCGCTACCTTCGGGAGCTAGTGGCGAGAGACTCGAGCAAACTAACTCGACGACCCCCGCGCATAAGTCAGCATATGCAGGTATGTTGAGGCATGGGGGATGTTGTTTGGGGGAGCCCATCATTGGAAGGGGTTCTCAAGCCTCAAGGGGTGCCCGAAACGAAGCAGAGTGTGATCACGGGGATCAATTGGTCATTTACCGCGCCTAGCAGCATGGATTGGGGAGCCTGTTTGCTTTGCGAGCGCGCCAGATACGAGGGGCGAACTGGGCGTTCGAGTGAGATGTGATGGCCAAGCTTGCATAGTCTGTATGCATTGCATCCCAGATATGGAAGGTTCGCCTCGGCTGCGGTTAGTAAGAGGCAACCTTGACAACCAACTTAGGCGAGACAGACTACTGAACAGAGACTGTTGAGGAGATCGCCCTGTTTGTCGCCTGGCCCCTGAAACAAAATTGGACGGCATGCACCCTATTTAGTGAATATAACGCGCCCACTATATACTCGGGTGAGTGTATGCCGAAGGGATGCTCATGCCAGGCAATTCCTTGACGAGGCCAAGGCAACGCTGACCTGACATTCGGGGTCTTTCTGCGCAGGAGAACGGAGAATAAAGAGGAAACGTTTATGACCAGATGAACAGGACAGGCCAGCGCCCCCTGGTTTGGATGCACTGAGTAGGCATGCACATGATGCATCAATCCTCCGTCTGGGCGACTGCCCCGGAAATGCTGCTGATCAGCGGAGTCGAAACACTCGAGTCATTCTGACAATAGCAGCGAAGGCGAGAATCCATATCAACAGGAAGGCAACCCTAGAACGGCAGGGGACCTAATACAAAGAGAAAGAGAAAAAGGGAGAGCCTAGACCAGTCTGGCCGAAAGACGAGAGGCGAATCCAGTATTGCGAAGTGCCGATCGGGGCCGGGATGGGGGCTCATTCTGTCCCTATCCGCGCCCGCTCGGGGTGAATGCTGACTCTTGTTTGCTGCGTAGTTCGGCAGGAGACCGAAGACTTTGAGGCGGAGGTCGCTTAGAAGTTGGCCCATGATATCATTTCTCCGAAGGATTGCTATCCATGGCCAGGGCCTCACGGGGAGGTGGATGATCGGCCGGAAGCGCGCATCGCTCTAGCACCTCAAATGAGCCTACTCCATCTCCTTTCGGCCTTTTACCTATTCGCGGTGACCGGAGCCAGGGTTAATTCAGAGGGTAGATGCAGAAATGCAAATGGTAATATGTACGTTGCAGTACGATATCGCGGGTAGCCGATGCGTGTTCGTCAGCCTTGGAGCGGATGGCCATCATCGTGTCGGTGGGCCGGAGCCGACCTGCCTCTCAATATGCCGTGAACTACAACCCGGAGCGGTCGTCCAAAACACGCACTCTCTCCCCATTTTACAATATGATTGGAAAAGCGACAGGACCGAAAGGGGCCCTGTCTTCTCAAGCCGTTGGTCAAGGATTCGCAACATTGCGTAAGTGCCCGGAATTGGGGACAGCAGTCGAGCATCCTCTGCCTGTTTCCTAATCAGTCTTGCCTGTCGGAGGACTGTCTAGGTCGTCTTCTGGGATGCATGGGGGCCCCACTGACCCTGATCCTGATTCATTCCCTTTTTCATGAGGTTTTCATCCTTCATTCATCGGCGTTTTTTTTCTCGCGAGGAGGTCCCCAAAGCGCCAAGGGAGAAATGGCGAAGACGATTGTTACTAGTCTCATCGCTCATCGAAGGAGTGTGGACGGATCCATGGAGGCATCATTGCTTCGAGAAGGCTGGACACAGACACTAATAACTCGAACATGAGGAATCGAGGCTAGAGAAGCCACTAGTGCTAGCGTTGATTTTGACAGCTTCGATCGAATCCTAGCGTATTTTGCGGCCCGGGCCTCCACTGGCGGGAAAATGCCAGCATCCAACGTGAACATCAAATCCCAACGTCCTCGTCCGCATGTCCGCTGAAAAACGAGCTCCGGCCCGCAGATGGTGCCCAAGGCGCTTTTCATGCCCTTTCATCAACGAACTCCAGCTCCAGTTCCCATTCTCGGCCGCCGCCTTAAGCTTGCGTCCCAGAAGGGATGCTGCCGGGATGGTTTGTTTCTCCTGCTGCTCCCTCTTTGCCCCCTGTGGAGCCCGCCAACAAGTCTTTTGTTCGTAACAGTATTACCGAGAAGAAAGAGGAAAACCACCCCCGCCCCAGACAGGCTCCCTCGCTTAGAAGACCGCCCCTGGCCAGGCGCCAGGATATGCTTATCTGATGCCCTGAGGTGAACGGAAGGAATGGCTAGGGATGGGGAGAGCCCCACCACCGTCCAGGCCCTTCCATGCGGGTCCTGGAGGCCATCTGACAGCGGCGAAAGAAGCCGAATGGAAGCACCCACTGATCCTAGACGGCTGGCTACTCCCGAGTGTGACGTTGGGAACGCAAAAAGAAGCAGAGAGTAATGCTTGTATTAGCCATTTCCTCGTCGCGCTCTCAAGAAGCGAACGGGGGTTCCTTGGGGAGGTTGCCAGCATTGGTGAGCAGATTTGGGGGACAATCACGCGGTCAGGAAACGAGTCATGAGGGCGATGAAGCCTGGCAACCTGGCAATCCGGACAGAGCTTCCCACTGTGGCGAATGTCTATACCTTGGCATCCCCAACCAATAGAGCCCTGTGGTCGAAAAAGAGGTCGACCCTGTTCTCGCCCTCTGAAGCGACGTTGCCCCGCCATATTCCCCGGACCGTTGGGTATGACTCGTCATCTTCATTGAGGAGAATGAGTGGAGACGGGAGAAGGAAAACTGATCGATTTTCGATTTTCGAGGAAATATGACTGGTATGGAAAGGATGGTTCACGAAGTGAAAGACCTAGGGTATTCCTTGAACGGATCTCTGGTCCAGTACCAAGGTTACGGCTGTTCCAGTGATCGTGGAATGGCGCATATTGTCGACATATCGACACATCGATAATGGCCTGGTGATAACTGATCCCGACTTTATGGCTATTCTCCGTATTTTTTCCCCGTCTTATCTCTTTATTTAGCGAGAAGAAAATGGGGAGAAATAATAACTTGAATCCGTGTTTGGGAGTCAGATGTTCCCTTGCTTGACATGGATCTCGAGATACTTTGGCAACAACCAATTACGAGACGTACAAGTCGGTACTTTGCTACCTAATCCTCATCTCGCCTTCCAGGCCAAGAACACTCGAGGGATGGATCCAATGGATTCGCTGGACTCGGGCGGATCTGCTTCCCTCCCTCGAGTGTTCCTTCTCGCTTAGAGGCTGACCCACAACCCTCCAGTGCTCGGAACAGGCATCTCGTTTTCGCCAGCCTCGTGTAATACTAGTAATTCCAATCAGCCCGTGGCGTGGCGTCGTGGAATCCATTTTCGAATTTTACATCATTCTGAAGGCAATCCAAGTCGCGCACTGGGATAGCTGAATGAGGTTTCCACTAGCCAGCTCCTTCCTGCGAAAGACTGGTAGCGAGGCCCCATTGATACCGAGCTAGGGCCGACCCCAAA